GGTTTAAATTTTAGTTAACTGACGAATTTTTCTATCTGACAACGCTCACAATAAATTAGAAATTGCAATTCTCGACATAAAGAAATTTTTTGAGATCTTTACAAATTTCTTGTATATACATATATTAATTTCTCTGTTATTTTGCCATTAGGAATAAAAGGAAAGTGTTTGGTTTTACTTTTAAGAAACATTTGGTTAACTTTTTCACTAAGTTAATTATATGAATATAAGAAATATGTATTTAATATAACTCTTTATAAGTATGTGTAATTGGCACGGCAGTTTGCCGTAATTAAGTAATTATTTAGAACTAGACTTAAGTATTACAGATGTAAACTTATGATTAACTGCTTATATTATATTTATATACAAACATATACAAAGTAGTAGAAAAATGAGCAAAAAAGGTAATGTAAGGGTAGCTTGAAACATTCATCTATTAATATAATTATAGCTGAGACTTCCCTTGCCTCTAATATTTTATGTGTTCTTGCAATAGCAATACTTTTTGATGGTAAAGTCTTCCAGGCAGTCCGCCTCGCCGTTATACTCGTTGAGACGGCTCACCGATCCCGTCACGGTCAAACTCTCGTTGTCTGGCAGCAGATCGTTGAAGCGCACTGTCGCCTCGTAGAGCGCCTTGTTCGGGTTGGTGTAGAAGATGAGACGGTAGATCTCTATATGGCTGGGATACATATCCTTTAGGTACGCCTTGTAAGCTTCGCTCATGCTCAGCAGCGTCAGTGGCTGGCAGAGATGAGCCAGGCTGCCCTGACGGAAGCTTTTCACATAATCATTAAGGTACTGCACCACATGCTCGGCCATCTGTTGCACAACCTTGGAGTTCTTGTAGACTCTCTCGTACGGCCAGCAGGTGCACCAGTGGTCTTCAATGGCCACATCCTCGCAGCTGCGACTCAGCGGAACAGGCAGCAATAGGCTCTGGCACTGTGGGCAGTCCTTGGCCCCTCCCAGATCCTCCAGGCTGCCAGCTCGACCCGTCAGCGAAAGAATGTGCTTCAGTGTCATGTGCAAGTCGTAGGGCGTGGTCAGCCGATTGTAATTGAGACGCATTGATTCCTCAAACTCTGGGTTTCCATTTCTCAGGAATTCCGGCAACCAAATGAACAGGAAGGGCAATCGCTCCTCCATGTGACCCGACCAGGTGGAACGCGTTGGTCCAAATCGCAGTCCGTGATCACTGAAGAACACGACGATACTATTCTCCATTGTGCCCTGGGCCACCAGCCGTTGCATATATCCTCTCAGGTACTCGTCCATGGAGCTGGTCTGCGAGATGTCGCTGTGGCTGTGCGTGTTCGTCCAGAAGAAGCCGAAGAAGCTGTCGTTGTGGTATCGCCTGGCAAACTCCTGGGCATAGTTGTAGACATGCTCCGCCTCCGTCGCGTAGCCCACGCAATGGGGCATGCCCATCACATTGGAGCCTTCCAGCAGCTTCTCCGCCGCAAACAAATACGGTCGCATGTAGTAGTCCACGGGGGACTGCTGGAAGCCCCTCTTCATGTAGTTGAAAGTATTGATCCCAACCGCATCTTCGCCGTAAGCAGTCACATAGCCATGTTTCTGGAACAGCTTCCAGATGAAGTCACATTGGTCCAGGCCGTTTATCTCATAGGGATTACAGTGCTTCATGACAGTCGATAGATTGTAACCCACCAAGAGTGCCATAAGGTTGGGGAACGTATTATCATCGACCTGAGGTATGGGACTTTCAGTGTGATTCGATCTGGAATTCTAGGTCAATTGATGAGCTTACCTTGTTGTAGCCCGCCAGCTCGAACCAGTCGTTCTCGTAGAGGTACTGCGCTGTCTTGGGCATGGCTCGTATGAGGTTCACCCTCGAGATGCTATCGATGCCAATCATCAACACGCTGGGCACCCGTTTGCCTCGATCCTTCTGCGCCCAGTGCTTGAGTCTCCGTCGCACGGCGGATCTCTCCGGTATGGTCGGATGTCCATTGATATAGACTTGAGCCCCCTCCGTCCTGCATTTGACTATAACGCTCTCTGTCGTATTGGGCAGCTGTGTTCCACTCTTGAATTTCACACAAGGTGTATAGCTCACATTCATTTCGTTAACACGTTCTACGCCCATGTAGCAGCAGCTCATCGAGTTGGTCGGATCGGAGGCATTGATGTTTAGGACATAGCGCTGAGTAGTTGCATTGTAGTGGGTGGTAGTGAATGGTGGATAGGACTTGCAAGGCTTGTAGGTGACCCGCTCGAAGTGGCACATCACCTCAGGATCGTCCGGTTCGAGATCCAGAATTTTGCAGTGGTTGGTATCAACGAGAAAGTCTTTTGGCGGATATTTCAGTAATGTGGTACACAGATATCTGATAGAGCTACTCCATTACCTTCCAAGTCTAGGTCGTTAAACGGATAATCCTCTGGGTCGAGCACTTCTACGGGCCTCATCAAAAAGTAACAGAATGCAAAGATCAACAACAGGCAGAGCAGCTGATTCCGGCGCAGCACAATTTTGCGAAAACACCATAAGAGCGACGGCGCTTTTCTACATATAAATCCTTTCATTTTCTCCATATTGTCCGCGTACTCTAACTGTGACCTCTGCACAATGCCAATTTATTTATGATATAATCAAATATTGTGTGCCCTAAAATTTGATAATTTTTATTAAAGTTTCGATTTTGTCGTCTTCTCTACTACGATTGAAACAATTCTGTGAAGTACTGTAATTTCGATAAAGTGTACGCTATGGATATACTTTATTGCAATGAACTTAAAACTAGATATCGGTCCGTTCCTGTCTGTTCTCTCATCCGTCTGTCCGTTCGATCCGTCCATCCATCGGCCCATAAATCCGTCCGTTCGCTCTTCTATCCATATGTTCCAATTTCGATTCCTCTTTCCCTTTTCGCCGTTCATCTATTTAGACATAACGTAACAGATTTCGAATACTGGAAATAGAGTCCGTCTTGATCAGGCTAAACAATTTTGATTACGAAAGTCTATCTAGAAGAAAAGATAATTAGTAAATAAATAATTACAGGCTAAGCACAGTTAGGATCTGTGGTAGCTCTTACTCAAGATACTCCTCTAGTTCTCTCCCTGTTTTTTTGTCATTAGGAATAAAAGAAATTGTTTGGTTGTTATTTTAAGAAAAATCTATTTTCTTTGTTCTCACTAATTAGACAATTCTATGAATGTAACAAATATGTATTCAATATAACTATTTATAAACATGTGTATTTGATACAGCAAACTTAAGTATTATATATAATTAGACTCAAGTATAATCGATGTAAAATTTATAATAATTGAAAACTTGGCAAAGGTTTTAATTTTTATTTTACAATATATAAATTGGGAATTGTTTATAGAGATTTTAGATATATACACATATATAAATATATATAGAGTATTAGAAGAGTGAGCAAAAAGGGTAATGCAAGGGTAGTTTCATACAGTTTAGACTTAAGACATTTAGCATTCAATAATAAAGTGCCACAACTATTCAGACTACCCTCACCGCTAATTATGTACATGGTATCTATATGTATATATTTATATTTATAAGTATATATGTTTGTAAGTAAGTAAGTATTATCACGTTGCTGCTCTGGAAATGGTCCGAGTCTTTATACTTTCTACAGAGAGAGAGAGAGAGAGGACGTTACTACGCTAAGCCCTTAATAACTACATATAACGGCACTTGGGGGCTTAAGCCTAAACAATCATAATATCCATAATATCGGAGGCCATCATCAACCTCCTTTGCGCTTGCAATAGCAATACTTTTTGATGGAAAAGTCGTTCATGCAGTCCGCCTCGCCGTTGTACATGTTCAGACGACTCACCGAGCCCGTCACTAGCATATTCTCGGCCTCTGGCAGCTGCTTGTTGTAGCGCACTGTTGCCTCGTAGAGCGCCTTGTTGGGCGCGGTATAGAAGATGAGCCAATAGATCTCTATATGGCTGGGATCGTTGTCATTCGGATGCGCCTTATAGGCGGCGCTCATGCTCTGCAGCGACAGCGGCTGGCAGAGATGCGCCAGGCTGCCGTTGCGGAAGCTGCTCACATAGTCGTTTAGGTGCCGCACCACACGCTTCGCCAGCTGGCGGACAATCTTGGAGTTCTTGTAGACACTGTCGTAGGCCCAGCAGGTGCACCAGTGGTCTTCAATGGCCACATCCTCGCAGCTGCGACTCAGCGGAACAGGCAGCAATAGGCTCTGGCACTGCGGGCAGTCCTTGGCTCCTCCCAGATCCTCCTGGCTGCCAACTCGACCCGTCAGCGAAAGAATGTGCTTCAGTGTCAAGTGCAGGTCGTAGGGCGTGGTCAGACGATTCCGGTTTATATTCAGTGCATCCACAAACTCCGGATGTGCTTTTCTCACGAATTCCGGCAACCAAATGAACAGGAAGGGCAATCGCTCCTCCAAATGCCCCGACCCGGTGGAACGCGTTGGTCCAAATCGCAGTCCGTGATCACTGAAGAACACGACGATACTATTCTCCATTGTGCCCTGGGCCACCAGCCGCTGCATATATCCTCTCAGGTACTCGTCCATGGAGCTGGTCTGCGAGATGTCGCTGTGGCTGTGCGTGTTCGTCCAGAAGAAGCCGAAGAAGCTGTCGTTGTGGTATCGCCTGGCAAACTCCTGGGCGTAGTTATACACGTGCTCCGCCTCCGTCGCGTAGCCCACACAATGGGGCATGCCGAGCACACTGTTGCCACCCAGCAGCTTCTCCGCCGCATACAAATACGGTCGCATGTAGTAGTCCACGGGGGGCTGTTGGAAACCCTTCTTCAGATAATTGAAGGTATTGATCTTGATTGCATCCTCGCCATAGGCCGTCACGTAGCCATGTTTCTGGAACAGCTTCCAGATGAAGTCACATTTGTCCAGGCCGTTTATTGTGTAGGGATTACAGTGCTTCATGGCAGTCGACAGATTGTAGCCCAGCATTAGTGCCATAATATTAGGAAAAGTATTGTCATCAATCTATGACGGAGGAAGACTTTAGATGTAATTCGATCTGGGTCAACTGATGATCTTACCTTGTTGTAGCCCGCCAGCTCGAACCAGTCGTTGTCGTAGAGGTACTGCGCTGTCTTGGGCATGGCACGTATGAGGTTCACCCTCGAGATGCTATCGATGCCAATCATCAACACGCTGGGCACCCGTTTGCCTCGATCCTTCTGCGCCCAGTGCTTGAGTCTCTGTCGCACGGCGGATCTCTCCGGTATGGTCGGGTGTCCATTGATATAGACTTGATCCCGTTCCACCTTGCACTTGACAATAATGCTGTCTGTCGTATTGTCTAGTTGTGCGCCACTCTTAAATTTCCCGCAGGGCGTGTAGCTCACATCCGTTTCGCTAACACGCTCCACTCCCATGTAGCAGCAGCTCAGTTTGCTGCGCTTCTTCGAGTTGGTCAGGGCGGAGGCATCGATATTTAGGACATAGCGCTGAGTAGTTTCATTGTAGTGGATGGTGGTGAGTGGAGGATGGGACTTACAAGGCTTGTAGGCGACGCGTTTGAAGTGGCGCATCACCTCACGCTTGTACGGATCCAGATCCACAATCCGGCAGTGGTTGCTATAGACGAGATAACCTTTTGGCAAGAGGGTTGACGGATCAATCAGCTGATTAGTAGTGAGCTCCACGAATTGGTTAAGCTGTTGCGTTGTGGTTGCATTCAAATCGATAGCTGATTTCGTGTGGTTGTGTGGGTAGACGGACAAAAGGCGAAGCAAATCATGCAGGGAACACAAAAAGCGAAGGCCAACATAAAGCGTAAACAAACAACAAAACAAACAAAGACAGAAAACATACAAATAGAGGCAGATAATAAATAGTAGGGGCTGCTCAAATACCTTCCATGTCCAGGACATTCGACTGATGATGCACCTGCATATTGTCCAGATCCAAGACATCTGCCGGTCCAATCAGAAAGTAGGAGAAGACAAACATCAAGAACAGCCCGAGCACCAGCTTCCGTCGCAGCACAATTTGCCGAAAATACCAGAGAAGCGTCGGCGCTTGTCCAGGCTTAAAGCCAATGCCCATCAAGGCCGGCTCCTGGGCATCCTGGCTGCCTTCCTTGCCCTCCACATCGTCCGTGTAGTCCAGCAACGGCCTCTTGTCAGCCATTCCCATATTTAATTGAAATCAAATTGATGTTGCTTCATGTTGGGTTAACTTTTGTCTGTAAAAGCGCAAAGCAATGAAAGCTATGAAAGAGACATTATAGAGCAATGGGAATGACTGCGCACTACCCTGTAGAAATAAGTTACATTGATGTATATCTTATAGAGTCTAGCTGTAGAGTGCTTCAACAGATGAAAGAGTAGAGAATAAATAGTATATTAAATATTATTCAATTTCTCATGACATAAATACATAAACATGTTATACGTGCTACTCCTGCCTTTACGTGCTACTCCTGCTTTGTCTGCTCAGCTTGCCAATAGATGTTAGAGAAGAAAGTATACATGTAAGAGCTTTACAGTTGGGTCTTACTTATACAACACTCCATTTACAAGGTGAAATAGAGTGACATAACTATCGCTGCTACATACATACATATACATATCTATTCTAACTTCAACAGCTCTGAATACAAGAAAATGAAAGAGACGAAAACACATGTAAAAGAACTCCTCAATCGGATATTATCAACTCTGCAGTACTCTGTGACCTACGACTCTTGCACACATCTATCAGCAATTTGTTTGCGAACAGATGTAAGAGAAGAAAAGAACATGATAGTTGCTCTACAGTCGGCTCTTATCGACTGCATGATACTCTGTTTAAGCATTAATAATAATACTAGTAATTATAACTCTTAACTCTTTAAATGACTCTCTAAATATAGATTTGCTATAAATTTATTCAATTTAATGTGAATAAATGTGAAAGCTGATTAAGAAACATGAAAGATAATAAATATTGTGAGATTTGCTATTAGCAGTCACCTATTCTKTTTACAGTTATATAATATAATATAAATGTCAGCGCATTTGAAAAAAAGAATACAAACAAAATTGAATACATCAACAGGTAGTGATGACATATACATAAATGCCATAATGTCTTAAAGCCCATATACCCCCGGCTTTCTGTAAGCGTAGTATAAAATAGTTAATTGAACGAGCTAAACAAAAAATTCAAAAATAAGAAAAAATAAAAAGAAAAAGCAAAAATCATTGCGTGCTTTATGATATAAATAAATGTTTGTATATATATGTATATAGTATATAAGCATATATTATATACCTATGCTTGCTTTGCGGCAAATTAAAAAGTGATTTAATATTTCAAGGTACAGTAAAAATTAAGAGAGAAATATAAAAACCATAATGAATTATGCAAAATGGTAATTAGCCACAAATTACCTTTATATATACACATGGGAAATCATCAAATTATTGAGACATGAAATATACATATAGACAATTTCTGATTGACTAACAGGTGCTCTGTAATTCTCAGTATTCAGTATTCACTTATTGACAACTTCTTTAGTTTTGAATTTCAAACAGTTGTTCGAATTCCCACTTAGTCATAAATTAATGGAACTCAGATTTGTGTGTAAAATGTGGTGATAACTTGCTATGTGTTTTTTATGCATATATGTGTATATATAACTGAATATTAGAAGCAACAACCTTATCACCGAAATAGCGGCGGATGCAATTTATCGTTTTTATTTAAGAACTGGTTCTGAATTTTAAGATAAAAGCAAATAGGTTTGTGGTTTCCGTTCCATTAAAATTCTCTTTCTTTGTATATTGTTTTTTGATTTTCTTTGTAAATATACATTAGGAATGTATTTGAAATAATAGAAAATGTTTATAGAAGATGGAAAAACAAATAATAAGAAATAATAATAAAAAATTGGCTGTCTAATAAAAAATAAATATTTTTTTTATACGACAATTTTTTAGATTAAAATAGAATTGAAACGGAAATAAATTAATATTAAATGTATGTGTAATAAAAATAATAAAAAAAATTTTAAATAAAATAAAAATGTAAAACAACAAATATTTGTATTATAGATAAATAAACAACA